ATATATAATTTAATATAAAATATAAAATTTATATCGTAAGAGAATTCAACTCTAAATCGTTATTAAAAGAGTAATAAAAAAATGATGAGAATTTAATTTTAATAATGTGATTTATATTGTGTTATTCAATAAGTTTGTTTAGCTTGATTTATAAAAAAATAATAGAAATTAATTTTAATTTAAATGTTATTATAATGTGAATAATTTTAATTAATTAATTAATTAAATTAAAATTAACTTTTATTATATTTTGTACATATTAATTATAAAGAAAGTATTTATTATGTTTTAAATTTTTTTTATTAAATTAATTGTTTTTATTAATTTAATTAATACACGCAATATTAAAAAATTAAAAATAAAAAAAAATCATTATGGAATATAAAATTTATATTTTAATATTTTAAATAATAAAATATAATTATATTATTAATTTTATATTTTAATATTTAATTTAATTTTGTTTATCACTATCCTAATTAAAAATTACAGACATCACAATAAGTTTGCTGATTGAATCCAGCAATTTCTTGCCTCTTGAGACTTATTTTTTGTAGGGCCTATATTTATTTTATCATTCATGTATAAAGCAAATGGCGTGTTGGTTATTTGTAGGGCTCATATTATTTAAAGCGAATCGCGTTTTGCTGGCATCAACGACTTTGTTGTGCTCTTATATTTTGCCAATTGAAGTAAAGAGTTTTTAACGGCAAAAACCCTTAAGCCTTTAAATTTATTTCAAATTAACAATTTAAACTCTTATCACCAACGACCCAAATAAACTCTTATCACCAACGACCCAAATAATTGTGATTTAACATGCACTGAATTTGTTCGATAATAGAAATCTTTTTAAAAAAATTTATAATTTTATAATATTAAAAATTTTATTATTAAGATTGATAACAGAAATTTAAATTTTTATAACAATTATGTAATACTAATAATTTAGTTATTAGAAAAATTATCATCCAATTATAAAGTTTACATTCACCTACTCTCATCAATATCAGCAATTAAATCCTTAACAATTATTATTTCTTATATTCTTAAATGAAGTTGTAAGGAAGCTCCTCAATTTCTTGAACTATCAACACAAAGTTGGGCTTAAATGGCAATCGGTCATCTGCCGCAAATAAATGGTGATTCTTCGTTTTTCTTATTAATCACATTTGAATATTATTATTTTGGTTAAATGCTAAATTTGGTTCCTCAACTTTAGTGAGTTGGACATTTTTGGTCATTCAACAATTTTTTGCACTTTTTTTACCTCTCAATTATACGAAATTATACGAAATGTACTCCGTTAGTTCTTCTGTCAATTTTCGCCGTTAACTTGGCCACATGGCATTTTTTATCTTTTTTTTGGATGACATGGCAAAACTAACCTAAAAGGCGCTGATTTGGATTTTTTTTTGGCGACATGTCATCTTCCTTTCTCATCTTCCCTCTGCAAATTAAGCTCCACTCCATCCATCTGTAGAATCAATTTTAACCCATTTCTTCTTCCTCTCTAAATGCTCTCTCATCTCCACTTCTCTACAAAACCAATCTTAACCCATTTTTTCTTCTTCTCTTTTCTCATGAGAATTTGAGAAATTGAACCAGGTACTGGGTTTCATTCAAACCTCAAACTTAGTAAATCTTATCAAATCAAATTAACCATTCAATAAACAAAATAAACAATATCAATCAAACTCTAATCAAACTCCAACAAAAATACAATCAAATTGTGTAAATCAACTCTCAAATTTATTAACAACTGGAAATGAAAATCCAAAGAAGAATGAAAAAACATGAATTCAGCATCGGAACCTAGCTAGAACTTGTCGAACCCAACAGCTGGGTTTGGGAAAACTAGCAAGGCTGGGTTAGACGAGACCCAGCAAGCTTCGTCGGAACGCAGGCTAGGTTCGTTGAATCCAGCCTGCTGGGTCTCATCGGAACCCAGCAGGGGAGACCCAGCCAGATCTGGGTCTCCACGAACCCAGCAAGGCTGGATCTCCCCGAACCCAGCAAGGCTGGGTCCCGACGAGACCCAGCAGGCTGGATTCCATCGAGACCCAGTAGGTTGGGTTCCGACTAGATCCAGCAGGCTGGGTTCGTCGCAGCCATGGAGACCCAGGGCAGGAAAGAAAGAAAGAGAAAGAAGGAGAAGAAGGATTGGGTGGGTGAGGGTAATTAGGTAATTTTATTTGTTTTTATTTAAATTATAAATATTAATCTACGTGTTATTTTTATTTATTTATATAATATTATTAAAATCTATATTATTGCCACATCATCAAATAAATTAAAAGATAATGCTACAAAATTATTTAACTACCACATCGTATTTAATATATCATCTCTTGCTATTTTTTCAATACCAACATTCGAAAGTACTTAAATCAATCCATTAAGATAAAAAAATTAATTTGATGATAGTTAAACGAATGACATATTCAATAGATTAGACTAATTTGTATTTCAATCAATTTCGCTTTTTTTTTTTTCTTTTTTTCTTTTTTTTTTTTTTTTTTTGCAGAAGGGCTGTTTTATCCAATGGAGGTCGTATCTCTTGTTGGAGGTTCTTATTTATCTGTTACATTTAACTCGTTATTTGAAAAGTTGAATGAATATCTACGTGATCAGCTATGGGGTTCAAAAGAGAAACTGCGTGCTCAGATGGAAAGTTGGAAAACTTTATTGCCCAAAATCATTGCTGTACTTCAACACGCAGAAGAAAATCAAGACGCCAACCAATTTGTGAAGTCATGTCTTGATAATCTCAGGGACTTGGCTTATGATATGGAGGACATACTTGAAGAGTTTGTGATTGATGCCAACAAGTCTGAATTGAGTGTAGAATCTGAAGCCAGGCCCAACAAACTTAAAAAATTTATTGCAGGTGCCATTTTTGGATCTAGGCGTAATCCAAAGATCAAGTCCATGGTGAATGATCTGAGTGATAGGTTGCAGAAAATTGATAATGGGATGTGTAGTTTGGGCCTAGGGAATTTGGCTTTAAAAGGGAATTTGGCTTTAAAAATTGAAGATGAATCTCACAAAGTAGTTGCAAAAAGGTTACCTGAGTCTTCACTTCTCGAGGACAAGGTGTTCGGTCGAGATAGTGATAAAGATGCTATCCTTCAGAGGTTGCTAGGAGATGGAGGTAGTCTTGAACAAGACTTTGTCATTCCCATCGTTGGAATGGGTGGATTAGGCAAGACAACTCTTGCTCGGCTCATTTACAATGATGAAAAATTGAAAGGTAGGTTTGACGTGAAGGCATGGGTTTGTGTTTCTGCTGAGCTTGATGTTGCTCGAATAACAAAAATCATTTTAGAACAAGTAACTAAGCAAAAGTGTGATCTTGATGATTTTGATTCACTTCGAAAGAAATTGAAAGAGGAGATATTTGGGCATAAATTTCTTCTTGTTTTGGATGATGTTTGGAATAAGAAATATGGCGAATGGGAGCAATTCAAGAGACCTTTCATGTCAGGAGCTCCTGGAAGTAAAATAATTGTCACAACTCGAAAAATGGATGTTGGGACAATGATGAGAGGGGATGATGGAGTTTACAATTTAGAATTGTTACAAGTTGATGCTTGTTTGCCATTGTTTACGCAACATGCGTTGGGAAAAGAGGACTTTGCTGTGCACCCAAACCTACAAGATGTTGGTGAGAAGCTTGTTGAGAGGTGCAAAAGATTGCCATTGGCACTAAAAACACTCGGTGGAGTCTTGCGAGGAAAGCAAGGTCGCGATGAGTGGGAAAACATATATAACAGTAATATATGGAGTTCATCAGAAGATGAAAGTGAAATTCTTCCTTCTCTAAGATTGAGCTATAATGATCTTCCTTTTCACTTGAAGCGATGCTTTGCTTATTGTGCTTTGTTCCCTAAGGATTATGAATTTGACAAGATGGAATTGATTCGATTATGGATGGCTGAGGGTCTATTGCAACAACAGCGACATGGAAAGGACGCTGGTCACCAATATTTCCAACAGTTGTTATCTAGATCACTCTTTCAACGATCAAGTAGAGTTGAGTCACGATTTGTGATGCATGACCTCATAAATGATTTAGCTATCGCTGTTGCTGAAGAAATATATTGCAATCTTGAATGTAGCATGGGTGATGGAAAATTGAAGAAAGCTCGTCATTTGTCATTCACTCCACACAAATTTGAATTCTCAGAAAGATTCAAATTCTTGGAAGAATTGAGGCATTTGAGAACATTCTTGCCGTTAAGAGCACCCAAGGACTACTATGACTCTTATTTGTCTAACAAAATCTTGCATGATTTCTTGCCAACTTTAACTCGCTTAAGAGTGCTATCTCTTTACAAATACGAGATAGGAAAGCTACCGGATTTTGTTGAAAAGTTGAAACATATTCGATACATTGATTTGTCTTGGACAAAAATCCAATGCTTACCTGATTCAGTGGGTTCTCTCTTCTTTTTGCAAACATTGTTATTATCTAGTTGTGGAAGGCTTACTTCGTTGCCTGCAACGATTGGAAATCTAATTGATCTTCAACATCTTGATATCACTGGTACATCATCTTTAAAAGAGCTGCCATCAGAAATAGGCAATCTTAAAAATCTTGTAACATTGTCCAAATTTATCGTGGGGAAGGGAAGTGAAACAATGATGAGATTATCTGCTTTGAAGAATTTGTCACAACTTCGAGGAGGATTGTCTATTCTAGATTGGGAAAATGTTTCACATGTTCAAGATGCTGTGCAGGCCAATCTAGACAAGATCCATGGTTTGGAAGAGTTAGTCTTCGAGGGGAGGTGGACTACTGTTGATAATGATCGAGATGAATCTGTACTCAGTTGGTTAAAACCTCACTCAAATTTGAAAAGTCTCAAAATTTCTTTCTATGCTGGCAGGAGTTTTCCGAAATGGGTTTGTGATCCATTATTATTTTTGAATTTATCATCCATGGAGCTCAGGTCTTGTTGTAGATGCACTTTGTTACCATCACTTGGCCGACTACCTGTTCTCAAAAAATTGGTTATTGAACGGATGGAGGCGATAGAAGTTGTGGGTCTTGAGTTCTATGGGCAGCATGACTCTTTTCGATTATTGGAGGAACTAGAGTTAACAAGCATGTACAATTGGAAGAAATGGATTTCTCCAAATGAAGGTGAATTCCCTTGTCTTCATAGACTTGTGATTCATTATTGCCCTAAGTTGTTAGGCCAATTACCTAGCAACCTTTCTTCACTTAAAGAGTTGGTTGTTCGTGAGTGCAATGCATCGCTTTTGAAAAGTATGGTTGATCTCACTTCACTCACTGGTTTTTATATTAAGAGAATTTCAAAATTGACTTGCTTGCCAAAAAGTTTAATACAGTCCTTGACAGCACTTGAGACTCTGTCTATTCAAGATTGCATGGAACTTACTTGTCTGTGGGAGGAAGGGGTTGAAATAGAACAAAACACCTTGCCTTTCAATCTTAAGCATCTTAGCCTTTGGGAATGTCGGGCTTTGAAATCATTACCTGATGCAATTATGATGAGGATGGATGAAAGCATTAGCAACAACAGTAGTGTGTTGAGATTGAGGTTGGAAACGTTGTTCATAGGTATTTGTCCTTCTTTCAAGTCTTTTCCAAGAGGCAAATTACCCATCTCGCTTAAAGGTTTGACAATAAAAAATTGTCAAAGCCTTGAGTCTCTACCGAATGTTGATGATGGCAATAATATTTGCAATTTACATTTGGTAATATCAAATGGTGTACGCTTGTATTGCTTTGAGGATTGTGATCAGCCACTAGCTTTTCTCAAGAGTCTTACAGTTCAATGTTGGAATTTGGAATCATTTCCAGAAAGGATGTTGCAGCGTTGTACGGGACTCCAATATCTTAGTATTTACTCTTGTAAAATATTGAAAAGTTTACCCACTTTTGATTATGTCAACAATCTTGTTGAATTATCTATCAACAGCTGTGAAACTTTAGGGTCATTACCAGAAGAGTTGGGATTATGCACCCCTAATCTAAAGGATTTGAAAATATTGAACTGTGTGAATTTCAAATACCTCCCAAATACGATGTACCAGTTGAAATCTCTTCAAATTCTATTGATGTATAACTGTCCTAGCATCGAGTTCATTCCAGATGGGGGTTTGCCCCTAAACTTAACAAAGCTTCAATTGGAGTGTAAGAATCTCAAGCGACTGCCGAATACAATGTACCAGCTCACATCGCTTCAACATCTAGCAGTCGAAGGTGGGGCTTTGATGTCTCTTCAACGGTTGGCAATTGAGCAGAAATTCCCTCAGGATAATGTGCTGCCTTCTTCTTTGATCTGGCTTAAGATGTGGTCTGAAGAAAATTTGGAATCCATACATGGGGGGCTCTTCCAAAACCTAAGCTCCCTTCAATGTTTAGAAATATGTTACTGCCCGAAGCTACGATCTTTACCGAGGGAAGCCTTTCCTCCCTCGCTTGGGCGACTATACATCAGGGGGTGTCCGCATCTAAAACAACAGTGCTTTGAGGAGAAAGGAGACTACTGGACTCTCGCATGGAGCATCCCAAACGTTGATATATATTAGCATGTGTATTAGGTAATAAGAGCTTGGTGTGAATTGAAATAGACATTACCATTTTATGCTTTTCACATGAGAATTTAGAAAAATTATAATAGATAACACTTTTTTGACTTATACTGCCTTTTCTTATATATGTGTTGCACATCTTTTTTGTGCAGGATGATTGGTTGTGAGTGCTGAAGAGCAAGTCAAATGAGATTGTTAATGGAGTACTAATAAAGTGGAGCTGCTTGAGCTTACCAGATTTTTTATCTGATATGAAGCTACGTTTTTAGTAGAGAGATACAACAAACTTCTGCTATTTTGCTATTTATAAATGAGGAGAATGACCAGTTGCACTGTGTCAAATTCTCATCTTTTCATCATATTTTCTTATTATAGTTGTTCTGCTTTCAATATTCAGCAATAAAAGTCATTTCAGTTTCTAGTCATTGTACTTATCATTCTTCAGTTTGCTGTCATTTAGTTTCTGTCTTGCTATATGCATAAACACCACTTTTACACTCGATCTACTTTTAATTTATCATTTTGGTATCAGAGCTGTGGTTGTAGAAGGCTTTGTTTGTGCTGATCATTATGGCAGGAAAATGTGGTGGTACAAAATTTGAGATTCCATGTTTTGATGGATCAAATTTTGCACTATGGAAATTGAAGATGCATGCAGTGCGCGTGAAGGATGGTTGTGCAGTTGCTCTCTTGCCAAGAGAAGAGAAACCCGGAGGAATGATGGATAAGCAATTCTCTGCGAAGGACGAGATGGCCTTGGCAAATCTGCAGCTGGTGCTGGACGACAATGTTTTGTTCAATGTAGAGACAGGGTCAACTGCAAAAGGGCTTTGGGGAAAGCTTAAGAATATCTATGAAGGCAAGTCGTTGGCAAACAAGATTTTTCTAAGGCGGCAGCTTTACAACTTGAAGATGAAAGATGGAGGGTCAGTATAAGAGCACCTCAATGAATTCAATTCCCTTACTAGTAAGCTTCTGTCTCTTGATGTTAAAATTGATGATGAAGAGAAAGGAAGTATCTTACTATGTTCTATGCTTGACTCTTGGGATAACCTGATTATGAGTTTGAGCCATGTGAAGGTTCTTGATATGGACTTTGTTGTAGCATACTATTAACTGAGGAGATGAGGCGAAAATCTAGCCAATCTAGTCTTGGAGATGCTATGTATGCACGTGGTAGAGTTGTTGAAAGAAGTTCTGGAGATCGGTCTAGATCCAAGTTTAAAGGGAAGAAGAAAATGAGATGTTGGAACTATGGAAAGTCAGGGCATGCGAGGAAGGACTGTAGAGCAAAGAGGTGAAGATTCCAGTACTGACAATTGTCAAGGAAATCTTGTACAGAGTCTTGATTTTGCAGAAGACGGGGATGCCTTGACTGCTTCAAAACGTGTGGAACTATGCAATCAGTGGATTCTTGATTCAGGTGCCTCCTTCCATATGACACCTCATCGGAAATGGTTCCACACTTACAAGTCTTGTGTCGGTGGTGTCGTTTACATGGGTG